TTCCAAGTGTCTATAAGAACCTGGTTCCTAAGCCTGCACCACCTCCTTCCAAGGTATTGTTTGGATTCAACATAAGAAATTTGTATAACATGATTGGAAGTAAATCAAAAAACATTTATTCTTTTTTTCTTCCTGTTGAATCATTTACCAGATATTCATTTGTACCTTTTCTGTGTATAATATTGTACCCTGTCTCCAGACTCTGCAGCTGCCAACAGCATTTACTTTATCTCATAAACCCGCTCCTCCTCATTTGCTCTTTCCATTAGTAGCATTAATAACCATCTGTCTCATCTGAGTTTAATATCTTGGCTGCTTCTTACCTAGTCTTCCTTACTAAATCATTCACCTCAGCTGACCAGTTAATTATACAATTCCATCAGTTTACTCTGTGTTATTTTCGTTATGTCATGCTATTGTATACTTTCTCATCTCTCTTAATGTTCATCCTCCACAGAACTTCTGCAGTAATCATCCTAAAAATTAAATACAGCTGGGTGTGGGAATCCGTGCCTTTTGTTTCAGCTACTTTTAGGAGGCTAGGTCAGGAGGGCTGTTTGAGGCCAGTCTGAACACATAGTGAGCAATGTTTTATATGCAAAAATGAAAGTTGAATATATCACCTACCTTCCTAAGCCTCTTCAGTGGCTATAAACTATATACAGCTCAGAATTTTTTTGGGAGGAGTGGAGGGGAGTCATAGTAAGGGCAGGCCAAATAGCTCAGCAGATTAAAGTGCCTGCAAGCAGGCCCAGGGGCCAGGGGTTCAATCCCCAGGCCTGCCATGCCAGCCCCACCCCCCTAGGGCATGCTGAGACAGCAATTGAGACTGGACATGGTAGTGTGCACCTATGATCCCAGCACTTGGGAGGCTATTAACAGGTGGATCACTATGAGTCTGATCTAGTAGTGAAACATTGAACACCTTGTGGACCCTTCCCTAAAATACAAAAAAAGAAAAAAATCATAATAAATATGCTTGGGATATATAAGATTTTTGCATATGGCATATCATTTTCATTTTTTAACATTCCTTTAAAAGTGTAGAACTATTAATAGTTTATTTTTATTTTTACTATTAATAGTTTATGAGCCATATAAAAATGTTTCAGGAAAAAAAAAATGTTTCAGACCAGTAGGCCAGTGCATAAGGTTTGTTAGTCACTGATTGGTTTGGGTTTGGATGTGGGTTAAGGTTTGGTTTTTTTGAGACAGGTCCCTCTGTCTAATTCAGACTGACCTTGAACTCACTAATAATAGCCCAGGCTGGCCTCAAATGTGTCAGTCTCTTGTGGGATTACAAGCATGCATCATCACACCCAGCACTGATGTTACAATGCAATGTTCAGACTACTTAATCATTCCATGTGTAAGTCTTCCATGTAAGTACAGTCTATCTTTTCTATCCTACTGCCCCTTTTTTCTCTTTTGGGAGGAAATAATTCTTAACTCATGCCATTCACTTTGTGAATTATTTCCTATCATATATATCTGAAGATCTAATTATTCCTTATATCTTTATAATTATGTACTACTCTGTGTCTCTTAAACACAATAGCTACCATGCTTTATTGTATCTATTTGTTTTTCTTATATGTAACTGTAAGAGCAGGTTTCAGGTTCATCATGATTATATACCTGGCACATTTACATAAGCACAGAACAATTGCATGGATGAGTTCAACCACTGTAAAAACATACTAATAATTAAAATATACTGTGTTAAAAGAAAAATCAACTGAGTACAGTGATGTACACCAATAATCCTAGCTACCCTGGAGCCTGAGGCAGGAGGATTGCCAAGAGTTAAAGGCCAACCTGCACTGCACAGTGAGAATTTGTCTCCAAAAAAAAAGTTTCATAGACTGGGCATGGTGGCGTTACAACTGTAATTCATGAAATCTGGAAGACTCGTGAGGCAAGAGGATCACAAGTTCAAACCCCAGCCTATGCAAGATCTTGTCTTTTAAAAAACAAAAAAGGGGTGGAAGGGACCAGAAAGGGCTGTGGATTTAGCTCAGGGTGAAGGCCCTGGATTCATTCCCCAGTGCTGCAAAATACTTTTGTAAGTACTTCATTTCAGAGTCTGCAATAATTGTTAGACTACATAAACTATAAAAATGAGTATGGCAGGGGCCAACCAGATAGCTCAGTGAATTAAAACGCCTGCTTAGGCAGATGCAGGGCCTGGGGTTCCCCTTCCTCCTGGGCCTGCCCTGCCCCTGGGGCACGCTGAGGCGGAGATTAAGACTGGGTATGGTAGAGCACACCTGTAATGCCAGTGCTTGGAAGGCTGAAAACAAGGGATCACTATAAGTCTGATCTGTGTAGTGAAACCCTGTAGACACTACTAAATACATTTAAAAAAAAAAAAAAAACAATGTCATTGTGTACTCAAAATCTCATACATATGTTTAAAATAAGGTTGCAAGGATAAAAATCATGATACAAGGCTGGGCATGGAGGCCAGCCTGTATTCCCAGCACTCAGGAGGCAGAGGCAGACCTCTTTTAAAAGAGACCAGAAAAAAATCACGATACAGAGCTTAAGATCATGTTATCCCTGTTGTGAGCTAAGGGTGAAATGAATATTGAAAACTAATGTAAAGGTGGTTGTTACTGTCCTTCAAAAAATAGTGACATTTGGCAGAGAAGGGATGTTGTAATGGTGGATAGTAGGAAGGAAATCTTAAGTACTGAGGATTGAACATGGCCTCACACATACTAGACAAGTGGTAGAATCTTGTGCCACTCTAAAAAGCTATTTTTATGTCTTTTATGTATTTAGTACAGCGTCTCACTATGCAACTTGGACTCAGTGATCCTCCTATTTTCAGGCTGCCCAGTGCTGGGATTACAGATGTGTGCTCTGTCTTAGTGGCCAGCTCAGCACATCCGAGTGCATGGCTAGCAAGACATGTGGTACTGAGGATCAGACCCCATTCCATACACTTGCTTAGCAGGCACTTAGTCCACTGAGCTATCTCACTGGCCCTTTAAAGCTGTTATTTTGAGAAAGCTACTGGTTTTGATAAACTTTTTCAACAAAAAATTTGGGAATTACAGTTTTAGAAGTACTTGCAATATAGCTCCTGACATATCCTATTAATTATTCCATGACCAGAAGTTTAGAAACCATACGAATTTTTTAAGAGCAAGTCAAATGGAAGGGGGCTTTTCACAGAAGGAAATTGAAATTTTACCAAAGCCAAAGGAAGTGGTACACACCTATAATCCCAGCACTCAGACTGGACGAGGGTTGCTTCAAGTTCAAGGCCAATCTGGGCAGTACTTGAGTGAGTTTCAAGGCTACTCCAAGCTCTGTAGCAGGGAATGCATCATGGTGTAAGAGTATAGAGGCTTTGGTGACTCGGACAGTCACAAATTTCAATTTGGGGAATGGAACAGAGTAGAAAAGCAGCAAGACTGTCCAGAAATTAAGAGAAATATTGCTAGGAACAATGAAAACTTGCTGTTATTACTGAAAGATGTGTATGTTGATTCCAAACGTCCTATATTGCTGGGGAGATGGCTCAGTGGAATGAGCGCTTCGTTGGCAAGTGCAAGGGCCTGAGTTCAATCCCCGGTTCCGCCAAAAAAAAAGTATAACAAAGAGCTGTGACCCTGAGAAATCCAAATGTCCTGTATCATCCCTGGTGGTAAAAGATGCTGAAACACAGCAGGAGCCACAGAAATTCAGATTGGCAAAAGGCCATCACTTTGATACGGGTATTAACATTCCCAACGGCAAAATCTCCATTGTAGAGTCTTTCCACTTCTCAATAATCATGAATTGTATCTAGAAACATGGACTACTGAGAAAATAACACAGGAGTACCATTTAAAACTGAAAAATGTAAATTCACTTCTCAAGCATTTTACTTTTGAAGTCAAGATCTTTCCATCTTGAAAACAAGGTAGCAAGAATCAAAATGAAAAAAACATGAAATTACTTTGTGTGTACATATCATCCCCTTGTTCTGTTCATGTTCTAATTTTTAGCATATTATAGAAATTGCTGAGTGTATAGTACCTTCCTTTGACAGAACCAGGGATTGAACTCAGACCCTTGTGCTTACAGGGAAGCACTTATTCTACTGAGCCATCTCCCCGGCCCCTAGTACCTTACTTTGAAAGAATACTGTTACTGAGCTCTGTTGACTTTTTAGGTTACTGATAGAAAGTATTTTATTTTTTAAAATCTTTGATTTAGGCATAGTTCCTATGTATTTGTCAATATGACTAATCATAGCTACTGATTTATTGTAAATGAGAGAAATAATGTATTATTTTGAGCACATAATAACACTTAAATGTGCTTTTTTGTTTTTTTTTTTTTTGTGTGTGTGTGTGTGTGTTTGGTACAGGGTCTACAGGGTCTCACTCCGTAGAACAAACTATAGCAGTCCTCCTATTTGCAGTCTCTGAAGTGCTAGCATCACAGGCACACAACAACCATATCCAGTCTTAATTGCCCTCTCAGCTCACCCCAGGGTTGGGGCCAGGCCAGCAGGACATGCTGGGGATCAGACCCAGCCACTGCACTCTGAGTAAGCAGGTGCTTTAGTCCACTGAGCTATCTGGCCAGCCCTTACACTTAAACGTTTTCAAACAACAAATGACTTTGCTTCAGAAGAGTGGTTCTTTTATTTAAAAAAAAAATGAAAGAACTCTCTTAGTGTAAACTGTTTTTTTGTTTTTTGTTTTTGGCGGAACCAGGGATTGAAATCAGACCCTTGCGCTTGACAGGCAAGCACTTATTCTACTGAGCTATCTTCATGGCCCATAAACTTATATTTTAAAACTAAATCACTTAAAACCATTTTGCTTTATATAAAGATCAGTAATTGAATCACCAGTACTGCTATTTCTGAGCCATCTACATTCTATGGTTAGGTACCTATGAATATGGCCTCTATTATATAGTGTCACACAGTGAAGTATTTCCTGTGTCATACTTTAGCTTCAAAAAAAAGAAAAAATAAACTCCATAACAAGGCCTCGTCTCAAACAAAACAAAACAAAATTTCACCCCAAAAGTTGAGACATACTATGCCATGTTTAAGTAAAGACAAATGATTCAGTACACCTGGTATATAGGAAGTAGTGAAATAAGATTTCGTGGAAGTCTTTATAAAAGCTAGAGAGAGAGGTTTTGGGCAGCAATAACAGTGTCACATACTACCTATCTACATAATTTTAACAATTGAAAATTTTGAATGAGTACACATTAGTTTTTCTATTTGTTTTGTTTAATAAAGTTTACCTACAGTAACAGAAGAGTATTTGAGCCTCGAATGCTGGTGAATGGCTACATCCTTGGAAAAGATTGAAAAGAATTCAGGAAGGCCGCTAGAGAATGAAGCATCAGGACCTTAAAAGGGGAAAAGGGACCTGTTCAGAATTTTAGTAGTGAGCAATATCTCATTCTTCAAAGAAACACATTTTAAAAGAGCTGGAAATATAACTCTGTGTAAAGCTCCTGATGGTTCAATCCCTAGCACCATGAAAACAAACCTGAGGTTGAGATGAAGTTCATATTAGTGGATTTTAATACACATAATTACATAAAGAAAAGAGAAGTAGAAAGCTAGGCATGGTTTTGCATGCCTGTAATCCCAGCACTTGGGACACTGATACAGGAAGATCATTGAGAGTTTACAGGCAGCCTAAACTGCATAGTGAGACCCTGTCTGAAAAGACCTCTGTGAGAAAGCCTTTGTCATCCAAAAATTGGTTTTTTTCACTCAAACTCTTGCTTTCTCCTGTAGTTCTTAGTTCTGATTGTTTTATTCTAAAAATAAATAAATACATAAATTTTCTACTTGGTTTGGCCCCACTGTATTGACTTGCCCAGGTTTTTTGACTTCCTCATACAGTACAGTTAAAGCATGGAGTATTCTAACTGTACTCTGTTGCCATCATAGTTGGAGTTATGGCCTGACTCCACAAATCCAAGCAAAAGGTTTAAGGCTTTGGACTAACCCAGAATTGTCTAAACAGTTACAGTGCCTACCCTGACCTAGAGCTTCTTGACATCTAAATTCCCACAAAAGTTTTTTTCTGATGTGATTTATGAAAGTTAGGAATCAATGTCAGTGAAAACATGTGCCAGGTACAGTGACTCCCACCCATAGTGCCAGCAGTCTGGGAGGCAAAGGCAGGAGTGGCTGCAAGTTCCAGCCCAGCCAGAGTGACTTAGCGAGACCCTGTCTAAAATTTAAAATGTAGGGCTTAGATATAGCCTGGTGTGAAGGCTGGGTCTCCAGAACAACAACAAAAGAATGTGATAAATGGAAAATCTGTTGGTCATATTTGTATGCAACTTGTAAGTGCTTCAAGAACTAGCCCAATAAAGCTGTTGAGGGCAAGTATATAATCCCAACTTCATAGAAGGCTAAGACCTGAGAACTGCACAATTAAAGCTACTTGGGATTTAGTGAGATCCTACCTCAAAATCTTTAGGAAGGATTGGGCATCTAAGTCAGTGAAAAAGTGCTTACCTAACATGTACAAAGACCCTGGATTCAATCGCCAGTATCTAAAAAAGAAAGCTTTTGAATTTTAATAATAACAGCAACTCTCAGTCTTAACTGAACTAAAACTTTTATTTTTGAGAAATACCTGTTAGTATCCATGACTCCAGTTTCCCATTTGCAGTTATCCTTAAAATATTTAAATCTTAAAAGTTCCACATCTCTCAAGCATATTGAGGCAGGAAAGCTGTAGGGACTTAGGTTTCCATATAACATTTTGCTCTTTATGATTTTATAGCTGACCTGCTTTTGTGCTTGCTTTGACTGATTTGTCTTATTCCCAATGTAGCCCAATGCATGGAAAACTAACAGAATGGAACACAAATCAGGATCCCTTTCCTCTAGCCGGGAGTCTGCTTTTACCAATCCAATTTCTGTTACCAAACCAGTGGTACTGGCTGGTGGTGCAGTTCTAAGCTCTCCCAAAGAGGTAAGAATTAAAGTTTTCCTAAAGTTGCCATTTCCCGTATACTTAGAGATGCAGTGTGAGGTGTAGACAGAATGCTTTTAATTATGGTTACTAAAGAGTTCTTGACTAATGTCTTCCACATTACCATAAGGGTCCAAAAGTGGGCAGTAGCTGGGTAGAGTAAATGCTCTCTCTGGTAGACCAAGATTGTGTCAGGGGCTGGGGAGATAGCTCAGTAGAATAAGCATTTGAAGGACTTGTTCAATTCCCAGTTGGGGAGCGGGGGAGATGATATCAGGCTGGTTATTCTGCTGGTGACAGTAGAAAAATCCAAATAAAGCCAGAAAGTCTTGACTGTAGCAGCCCTTCAAAATTACTGTTTAAATAAAAGATCTGGGGTGTGTGTGTGTTCGTTTGTTTGGTAAAAGACAGTGATATACAGGCTACCAGGTTCCAAAAGTCCATGCTGTGTACATGTAGAAATAGCTCAGAGAATCCAGGTTTTTGCTGTTTGCTACCAGAAACAACTAATTTATGATATTCCCAGAGTCCCTCCAGCACTACCCCTCCAGTTGAGATCAGCTCCTCTCGTCTGACCAAGTTGACCCGTCGAACTACCGACAGGAAGAGTGAGTTCCTGAAGACTCTGAAGGATGACCGGAATGGAGACTCCTCAGAAAACAGAGACTGTGACAAGCTGGACGATGTAAGATCATAAAGTATTTTCTTTTGTTACATGTGTGCTTTTTTTTTAACTGATGGAAGAAAGGAGTAGCAAGATTTTTAAATGTACTACATATTGTTTGTAAGAATATCAGGCTTTAGAGCCTCTGTTAAAATAAGTTTAATTTGTTGTTCTTCAGAGATTCAAATTAAGGTGTTTTTTTTGGGGGGGAGGGGACAGTTTGGTGGAACCAGGGATTGAACTCAGGCCCTTGTGCTTGCCAGGGAAGCGCTTATTCCACTGAGCCATCTCCCTGGCCCCAAGGTTTATTTCAATGACCTTTCATTTCACCTTTACTGAGAACATCTTGATTACTTCAGAGTTTTAGCAGTCTGATTAAAGATGCTGTAATCATCACTGTGCGAAGTGTAAGTTTTTTGTGTAAACATTACTTGTCCAGTTGCTTTAGGTAGATAAATACCTAGGATGTGATTGCTGGATCGCATGTTAAGAAAATGCTTAGTTCTAGGAGCTGGGGAGATAGCTCAGTAGAATAAGAAAGTGCAGGGGCTTGAGTTCAATCCTCAGTTCTGGGCGGAAAAAAAAAAAAAAGGAAAAGAAAATGCTTAGTTCTATAAGATATTACCAAACTGACTTCCAAAGAGATTGTATTGTACCATTTGGCCATGTGTCTGTTTGGCTCTCTAGCCCTTTTTTTTTTTTTTTTTTCTGGTGGAACCAGGGATTGAACTCAGGCCCTTGCACTTGGCCAGGGAAGCGCTTATTCCATTGAGCCATCTCCCTGGCCTCTCTAGCCCATTTTTAAATAAGATTATTTTACTGAATTTTTGAAGACATTTTTATATCTGTCTTGGATAATGCTCCATCAAATGCTCCATCAAATGCTCCATCAAATACTAAAGATTTTTAGTAAATCCCAATTGTGGGTATTACTGTATCCTCCAATTTTGTTCTCCTTCAATTTTATGTTAGCTGTTTCAAATCTTACTTTTCCACGTAAATTTCAGAAAGTTTGTTGTTATAACAGGTCCATGCTTATAACGGACAAACATATGGGCTGAGGTTTTTGTCTTCTGGAAAGCACTGGCTGAACTTCTGACTCCTTGGTTTTGTAGGTTACCTATCTTTTTAGAAAAGATTAGACAATGTGTCCTTTTTCTTATTACAGTTGGAAGAGAACAGCACACCCGAACCAAAGGAAAATGGGGAGCAAGGCTGTCTTCAGAATGGTCTCTCTCTCCCTGTTGTGGAAGAAGGGCAGGTCCTCTCACATTCTCTAGAAGCAGAGCACAGGTTATGGAAAGCAATGGGATGGCAGGAATATCCTGAAAATGATGAGAATTGCCTTCCATTTACAGAGGATGAGCTCAAAGAATTCCACATGAAGACAGAGCAGCTGAGAAGAAATGGCTTTGCAAAAAATGGCTTCATGCAAAGTCGCAATTTGAGCCTCTTCTCTCCTTGGAGAAACACTTGTAAAGTAGAGTTTGAGGATTCTGACACCGAAACCAGCAGCAGGTGTGTGTGTGTGGCCAGCTCAGCCCACCAGGGGGCGGGGCTGGCTGGCATGTGGCGCTGGGGGATTGAACCGCGGTCCCTGATGCTTTGCCAAGCTTGTTCTAAGTAGGTGCCCTAGACCACTGAGCCATCTCTCCAGCCCCCTTGAACTCATTTTGTAGTCCATTGTGGCCTCAAGTGCTGGGATTACAGGTGTGTACCATCCATCCCCATCCCCCCCCATCCCCCCCCCCCCCCCCCCCCCCCCCCCCCCCGCAAAGTTTTGATGTGGTTTCTGACTTCATTTATAGCTCAAGGGAGGCATAAAGGAAAAGGGAACCTGTTTCCTGGGGCAGTTGTGTTGCTCCAGTGAGCAGTTACCATAATAAAATCCTTCTAAATGAGCTTCAAAAAACCTGAGACCCTGGTTTATGGAAAATGAAGGCCTTGAGTACACAGAGCTGCCATTTTTCTGGGCAACTGGCTGGTGAGCTGGGCCTGCTAAGCATGGCAGTACCTTCCTGAAAGAGATTCACAAGATTAGAAGAACAGTCACAAATGTGTGAAATTAAAAGAGCTTAAGGGGCTGGTGAGATGGCTCAGTGGTCTAAAGCACCTACCTAGAACAAGCTAAGCTAAAGCACAGAGACCGCGGTTCAATCCCCCAGCACCACATGCCAACCAGCCCCGCCCCCTGGTGGGCTGAGCTGGCCGCATACACACGCATAAATAAATAAAAATTAATAAAATAAAAGAGCTTAGGTACATGCTTATACACAGGAAACAAAAGTGAAATTTCTTCTGTTTTGATGAGACTTGAGAGCTATTATAATTTGGTTCTTTTCATTATACTAACATGTTTTCTGCTTCTGCTGCCTCTTTATATAGCTTTTTTTCTTAATGTAGAAATTTCCCATTCACGTACAAGCATTAGAGAAGGTTTCTTCTCTGACATTCATTGCACTGCACAGGAAAGTTTCTTTGTGGAAAGTGATGAGCTTCCCACATAGATTTTCCTACTGGTGTCATATTTTCTTTACCTGTCCTTTTGCCTCCACCAGGTTATTGAAAGCAATGGGATGGCAGGAATATCCTGAAAATGATGAGAATTGCCTTCCACTCACAGAGGATGAGCTCAAAGAGTTCCACATGAAGACAGAGCAGGTATATTATAAATCTTCTTTGGATACCATTTAACCATTAAGAGAGAAGGGAGTCTGGATAGTTCTTGCCATTAGGAAGCCCTGAGTTTAAAGTGAGAAAAAGACCTTAGAAAGTCTAAAGCAAATCACCATAATAGAAATGTAACGGGACCCTGGGCTCTGCATAGGCAATAAAGAGTCTCTATTAATGTATAATAAACCAAACCATGCAATTGACTCTAGCAAAAATAAAGAGAGTAACCTATTAGCCCAGGTGCCCTTCAGCTCTTAAGAGATTCTCCCTACTTCAGCTTCCCAACTAGTGGGTTTATGAACTCTCAGTCTTTAAGAAAGAGCGGTATACCCTCCTGTAGTTCCAGCCCCATATGTAGTTCCCTGGTGGTGGTTGGGCTGGTACAGAGGTCAGAAGTCCCCCCGCTCCCCAATTTTATTCAACAAATGCCTGAGACAGTAGAGATAGTGCACACCTGTAATCCCAGGTGCTGGAGAGGCTGAGGCAGGAGTTTGAATTAGGACTAGGCAACTTAGTAAGACCCTGTCTCAAAATATAAAGGCTTGGGGTGGTAGATAAATGATGTTCTTGGTTCAGTCCCAGTACTGTACCAAAAAACAACAGGTTTTTTTTTTTTTTTTTTTGCAACTGGGTTTTTTTCCTGAATAAAACAGTGCCAGAGCATAAGGTTTACAGCAGCAAACAAGACAAATGAAGTTTCTGCAGATCCCTCTGACTTGACAGTTCTGGCAGCAAATATTTAAGGTATAATGAGCATTGGATAAGTTCTATAAAGGAACTAAGTACAGGCTGACCTTTACAACTCAGAACTGTGTTAGAAACAGGAAATCTTAGACTGGGTGTGGTGGTGCGTGCCTGTAATCCCAGCTCTTAGGCTAAAAACAGGAGAATCACTAGAGTCTGATTTGTATAGTGACACCCTGCAGACCCTATACTAAAATACAAAAAATAAAGATCAGGAAACTTACACTGAACTTTGAAACAATTTCATGTGATTCATTTGTACATGGACGTTTGAAAAGCACTGCTGTAAAATATCTCGGGACTCCACACACAATCTTCTGTTTCCAAACTGAGCCCCGGCCTTGCCCAACTGCGTGTGCAAATTTAGTCATTGACTGTGGGTTGTTTGTTTTTTTTTTTTTTCTCTCCCACGCTGTCTGCAGCTGAGAAGAAATGGCTTTGCAAAAAATGGCTTCATGCAAAGTCGCAATTTGAGCCTCTTCTCTCCTTGGAGAAACACTTGTA